TGGATTCATTCACACCCCACCTTGAAACAATCTAGGAGGGTTCTATCCCCCTCTATAAAATTAGTAGAGCATGCAGAATTATTTTTCTTACAGAAGAAATAACAATTTGTGATTTCATTTAATAAAGAATGAATGATATCCTCCCTGGATGATTTCAGATCTTTTGAGATACTTGTCTTCAACTTTGATTTTAAGGGCCCAATGAAATGTTAAAGGCAACATAAGCTTCCATAAGTATAATTCAACCAGCTTGTGACAACAAAGGCAAAAGGAAGTATTTCAAACTCTTAGAAGTTGGTATGCTTGGCACACGCTAACTATGCTTATATCCTATGGCTATTAGGCATGGAAACTTTCTATGGAATATCCATTACTCATTCCCTCTGCTCTAAACACATAGCCTGTCAGAAAAATGGTGTGGGGAGGGGTACAGAGGAAGCCAAACTTAAAAAGCAGGAAAAGGCAGAGACAAGTAAATTCATTGAAGATTTACACCACGTTTTCAATGGCTTCTTTCATTTAATTTTCCCTGACTTTTTAAATTAGTAAATATACTGGACCCAGAGGGAAACATATGGAGAAAAGCAGGAAAACAAACAAACAAAAAAACAAAGCAGTGCAAATCTCTGTGTCTTGTACAATAGCCCTTATTTGGTCTTTGCATTTGCGTATCTGAATGAACTGTGGTCTGCTTTTCATTAATCTCCATCTGGAGCTGTTGCCTGCTTTGTTCAGCAATTTCTGGTCATTTTGGCCTGACGGTGACTGTTTTGTTTTATGTTGCCATATTTTACAGAATGAAAACTGCCACAGCCACCACCCAAGAAAGAACAATCTTGAAGACGAGAGGTTATGTTGAAGGAGTTCTCCATGACCCCTTCCAGAATAGAGAGTGAGTGTGTTTCTCTGGGCCTGCCTACTGTGGAGAACTTCAGGGTGTGAGTGGGATACAAGGAGGGAACAAAAGCCTTTCTTTCAGATGCTAAGTTAGGGTAAGAGTCTAAGGTTGGGCTAATATATCAAGGTTCATTTTGAGGCTTTTTCTTTTCATCTTCAAGGAGACTAGTGAATGTACTTCCTCACACCCCACTAAATACAAACTTGCATGTAATATACTGCATGTGCAACAGCTCATGAAAAATTGAATTCATATCATATCCTTAAAAACAAAAATAAATAAATCCTGTCTTCCTAAGATTTGGTTTTAATTGCACAGCCGGAGTCTGGAGGCGAAGTTGCAAATGGTTCAGAAGCAAGTGTCTCAGAGAAGACCAAATCCAATTTGCATTCTCTAATGACAAGCTCGTGATTTTGTTTGAAAAAGCCACGTCACCCTTTCCATTCCCTTCCTTAAGAAATCCACAGTCAAGAAGAACTCAATTTCTGCCGATTATTTAAAAAAGCAAAACATAATATTCTCTCCCAATTGATTACCATTTTCATCTGACATTATTTTACAAGAAACAAAGAAATGTATAGTCATAGGCTCCTCATAGTTCATAAAAAGAACCACCAAAACATAAATATAATAAATATAAGTGAAACCAGATCATTTTTCCAAGAACTGGTTTTGTTTTTGTTTTTGTTTTGTTTTGTTTGTTTGTTTTGTCTGAAAAGACAACAGATTTGGAGAAATGTAAAGTTAATAATAATCTAGCACCCATATTCTCACCCCCTTGATATATTTTTTTGTTTAATATTGCCAGTATTTTATACCACAGCTGACACCAGGTGTTGTTGAATGTTATCCATGCAGAACTCACTTACCCATCAAATCAGGCCATATTATTACTATTATTATTATTATTTTACAGATGGGGAAACTGAGGCACCCAGAAATGTTGAGTCATTTACCACAGATCACACAGCTTACTTAGTGGAGAGGCAGTGTTCAAACCAGGCAGTCTGGCTTTACCACAGATATAACTGTAAGCCATACTTACTCTCAAATATTTACCTAGTTCTGTATTTATTTTACACATGATTTTATATTCCTCTATATTCATTTAACTTCCTATAATAAACATGTTCATCATCTCACATAGTTTAGTATTCTTTCCTGTCATTGCAATGGCCGTGTCAGTTGTATATGCTCCATAAGCTAGAATTGGGAGGTTGCCTATACTTGTGTCCAATACAGAGAATGAAAGAGTGCTCAGCATGTGCCTATTTACACATCCTTTAAACATTTGTTTGAATAAAATATTTGGGACAACGTTCTCAGTGTGATTACTAGAGTCAATAATACGCCTTTTATTGCTCTCTCCACACTGACTTTATAAGAAGTCTCTACTAATTTAGGATGATGCCAACAGATGGGTGACCAGATAGACAGGAACCAGCATTGGCTGGCCTGCGTGAAATAATGTTTGCTACCTGAGTGGATATAACTATCACTGCAAATTACTTTAATACGCATGTTTCCAGTTGTTTCTTGACTCACCCGGAAGACACTGCTCCTTCGCAGCCTTTTTAAGTGTTTGTTGGTTTTTGTATTTTGTTTTTCCTTTCTAACATCTCTCCCAATGGATCTATAAGTGTGGAGTTCTCCTTGCTCCTAAATCCATCTGGTTTTGCTCCTACTTAAAATCTCCAATTTAGAATCTTTCATCATAAAATCTTACAACCAGTGAATCTTCATTTTCACTATTGTCTATAGACCCCCAGGTATCATTGCTCTTAGCTCTCTACAAATACCTTCTGGATCAGTTACTTTCCCCAATACTATTCTGCTTCAGTTCCTGGCTATTTCAATAAATACTTAGATGGTTGTTTCAATGTCTTATTTTATCAGTTCCTTGAACTCCTCAATGATGTCACATCTTCCTTCCAACCTTAGAAACGCACTCCCCTGGTTATCATTGGGGAACTATAAACAATTTTCCATAAATATAATTGCTGCCTCTTCCCAACTGCATGTCATTTGTACTGGTAACCATTTCAAGGGCCATTTTTTCTGAAAAGAATATTCTATATAGGATTCAGAATATCATTAAAATAATATTTTCCCTCAAACATGAAAGTGACAGTAATACCTTTCTGATCATGAGTGCTTACTTTCCTAAAAGGATACCCACCTCCATGTATTTGAGGAAGATTATGATTCAGAATCACCACTGTTAATCCACAGGCTCCAAATGTTGAAAAGGTGACTGGAGGCTTTTATTTGTGTGTGTAGGATGACCACATGTTCACTCCACCTTCTTTATACTGCCCTCAAGGCAAAAGGTCTAATAGCCCTCGGGCTTCCCATAAGGTCCTCTTTAGCTACTCTTCTATTAAATGCTTTCCCTAGGAGGTTCCAGGGTCCCTTCCTTCCTCCCTTCCTTTCCTCCATCTTTCCCTCCCTCTTTCATCTCCTTCTGTATTTATCAGTGCTTATTACGAGACTAGTAGTCTCCAAACCACTTTTTAAATCCTTATTACAATGAATAAAAATATTTTGTATTAGCAAACCCAAAATTCATTTGTATGTTTAAAACATACGCATTTGTAAAATTACACTAATATGTTCTAAATCACACACAGGAGGTTGATATAAAAACAGAGATATGTTCTAATATTTTCTTCTAGCATCCCCAACAGATAGTCAAGCATTCCCCTGCAATATCTCACTTCGAAGGTAATCTTTCTAGGTTACATAGGTGCTGTCTTCATTGAGTTTAAGTCTTTTTGGAGAGAGAGAGAGAATTAAATAAGCTATTACAAGAAAATGTGGATAGGAGTGTTAGGAGTTTCTTCTATTCTAGCTATGTGGGTCTGCTCAATTACATCCTAAAATTCTTTCTCCCAGACCTTTCCCAAGCTCATCCATTCTGACTTGCCTTTATAAACTTCATTCCCCCAAAAGAAATCTTCATCTTCTCCTCTCACAGTGTTTTGTGCGTATCTCTATTATGGATACCTATGTTACACTTTCACATGTATTAGGCCAATAACACTGATCCTAGTAAACATGTTAGGATTAGTTTCTTGGTTTTCTCTTTGGTTTTCTTTTCAAAATGAACAATTAAATGACAGGAACCTGTCTTCTTATTTTTTGGCTTGTAGTACCTAAATACCTAGTGCATTTGTGAGATTTTAGGAGACGTGCAATGTTTTGTTTTGTTTTGTTTTGTTTTTTTATTGCTGAATAGAACCTGACTACCATTACCCAAGTAGGCTACGATATATTTTCAGTATATGAGTGTCTGTTCCTAAAACATATGCACATTATATCTGTATGTGAAATAGGAGCAGTATTTAGAATGATGTTGGCTCTACCATACTTCTTGATGTCAGTATTACAAAAAAGGCTGGATTACAGGAACAACAAATAACATATGTTACAAGAAGCATTCCAATTTTCTAGTAAGAACTGAGTCATGCAAGAGAGACCATACAGATTTCACAAATAATATATAACGCAACCCTTGAAAGAGTATGGGATTCCCAGACATGAAGAAACATGAGTCATAGATATAGTCACATAACTTCAGAAATGTTTCCAGGGGGAAGCAAACAAACAAACAAAAAAGACTTAATAAGATACCAACTCAGATCCCGAGAGATGCTGACAGCAGAAGCTTAGACAGAATGGGCCCATCCATAAATTAATTCCTAGTCAACCCATGCTGCAAAAGCTTTAAAGAACAGATAAATTAAAACGTACTTTGCATGGGGAACTTTTCCCCAGAGTTCCTCATTTTTATATAGGAAATCAATTTGCATCACTGATGATATCATTCAAATCAGACAACCCAAAGTTGTTAAGAGGTAATTTAGTTTTACGCTGAAGCAATTTGATACTTGTTCTGATTTGTGATTTTCATTTTGTTTGTTAATGAAAAAAATTAATGAACAATGTTACTAGAAATACAACTCATCAAAGCCTCAGCATTATTAAAGAGGTTTGCCATATACTGTACATCGTGATCATTGTGCAGTTGGTGCCTGGACCTCTGCCTTGGAGGAGCCATCAATCCAGCAAGAATCCATGGTACAGATGCCCTTACACATACCTTTGCACTGATTTGTGTTTTTGTCCAGAATTGCCTTTGTGGATACAATTTTTCCATACCTGAAAGAGAGAGAGAGGGAAAAATCCATGTTATTATAGCCCAATGAAGACGCTTAAAATATCTTAATGAACATTGGTATACACACAGTTGAGCAGGAATAAACCAAGAAAATAAGCTCTGCACTCCCATTTCACACCTGGATGATCACTTTTCACCAGTTCTTCTTTATAACTCGAGAATGTGCTTCCCTACATAATCACTGGGTTGAGCCTTCAAAAATAGACCTGTCAGGCTGTCATAGGTGGCTGAAAGGGGGTTGCGTGTGATTGTGATCAAAGTAAATCATACTGTGGATTGCTGGAGAAAAGCACAGACCTTGGCGCCAGGGATAAACAGGGCTTACATCCAGCTCTGGCGCTGACCTAGTGTTGCAATGCTGAGCAGTTTAACACAACTTCTCCAAAACTATTTTTTTCATCTGTAAAAAATGAGAATTGTAGTAATTCCCTTTCAGGATTTGGGAGAGGGTTAAATTGAAATATTAAGATTTCCTAGCAGTGCTCCTAAGATAAATAGGATTTTTTTTTTGCTATTAAATACATACTGTAAGTTAATTGAGGGTAAGGACTGAGTTTTGTATTCTCAGTGCCTGCCACCATATGTAATAGGAACCCAATAAATGTTTGCTATAAATAAATGAACGATACAAGTAATCCAATGGTACTTCATCTACGTTAAAGTTTCTACCATAAACACATATAAGTATATTCATTATTTTATCATCTCTTGCAAAAGACCTAGTCTAGGTTTTGTTTTTTCAAAGATGGGTAATATGGAGAATGAAAATCTCTTTAAGCCTGTTTCCTAAGGTATAAATGATAGGACTGAAGAAGATAATTTCTAAAACCCTGTCCTTCTTTAGGATTCCATGAAGGATGCTCCTGAATCATCGTAACATGGAGAAATTATAATGCAAATTTAAGTGCCAAGTTTACTAAGAACTCATACTTATGTTCGAGATTCCAGTCATGTTACAACATGTTTGGCAAGTTTTCTTTTAATTCTGTGTTCCTAACCAAGTGTGAGTATATATGACAAATAGTAAATATTCCATGTCAGAATAAACTAGGTTCCCTATCACCACTGTTTCTTTTGCATTTACAATACCCTCTTATTATATCTTTAATTCTTTGGAGCATTTTGGTGGTCATTTATTAATATTCTAGTGTTGATAATGTCATTGTGCTAGAAATGCCTTCGCCTCTTTTCTTTTTTCCCCCCCAGATGTTTATGGCTTGTTTTTGTTTTTTGGCAAAATTCATGATAAAGATTCTCAGTAAAATAAAAATTAAGATTGCCACTGTAGATTTTTTGTAAGTGTACTTCATTGGGTTGACAATCTTAATTTGTTTTTTGTTTGTTTGTTTGTTTGTTTTTGAGAGAGAGAGAGAGAGAGCACCCCTGGGCCAGGGTGGGGAGGGGCAAAGGGAGAGGGAGAAAGAAAATCTCAAGTAGACTCCATGCCCAGCACAGAGCCCCAACAACAAGCTTGATCTCATGACCCTAAGATCATGAACTTGAGCCAAAATCAAGAGTCAGACACTCAACTGACTGAGCCATCCAGGTACCTCTTAGATGGTTTGACCAAGGATGGACTGAGGGTCCTCTAGAAATTCATGGAATTGATGTCATTATGAAAATAATAGCACCAATAGCTTTGAAAATCATTATGAGTTAACCTATCAATAGGTCACAATAGGAACTAGAATATTTGTATCTACTTAGATGAAGGGGTCTGAGATAATTCCCACGAGTCACCTACATGCCCCTTACTAAAGTCAGCCAGAACTGAGATGAAGCTATCCAAAACTGAATTGAGTAGATTTTGCCAGCATAATCCTCACATTTCAGCTGCTTGCATGCCTGGTACCACTGCATTTTCCACACCTTTATAACTATAACTCTATAGTTAAATAAATCAGAGAGAGCTAGGGCTGAAAGTGTCTACTATCATTTTGCAAATGTAGAAAATGTAATCTAAGAGATCACTAACTTGATCAAAATCACATAATTTGTGAAAGTTATAGGAGGGACTGGAATATGGGATTTTTAAGACTGGTACAGTGCTTAACCATTATACCAACTGCCTCCAAAACAGAGAAGCTACACATATTAACTCTTCTACTTTAAAGATTTATTTATTTATTTATTTGAGAAAGCGAGAATGAGAGAGAGAAAGAGTACATGAGATGGGGGAGGGTTAGAGGGAGAAGCAGGCTCCTCGCTGAGCAGGGAGCCCAATGTGGGACTCAATCCCGGGACTCCAGGATCATGACCTGAGTCAAAGGCAGTCACTTAACCAACTGAGCCACCCAGATGCCTGTCAACTCTTCCACTTTAATCAATCTTCATGTCTTTGGGAATTCAGGTATTCAACTCCAGGGCAATATAGTATAGTGGTGAAAAGAATACGCTATGACAAAAAACTGTCATGACTCAAATCTCGATTCAGCCTGGGTATATTTGATTGGCTAAGTAAGCCTTATGTGTCTTTTGTATCATCTCACCATCTATAATTACATAAATCCATTTATTTAAATATTCATTTAGACTACTATCTATTTAAAATTATATACATCTACGTACAAATATATAAAATGATAATAATCTCTACCTCATAAGGTTGTTTTGAGGGTTAAGTGGGGTTTACTGCAATGATAACAGTGGCCGGCATAGAATAAGTGCTCATTAAATATTAGCTCTTTTTGTGATTATTTCCTTCCTGTTATCTGCTATATAAAAATGTCTCTAGTCCTTGGCATTCTCTGAGGTGGTTAAGAAGTGGAAGGGGATAAAGTCCTGTCCCAAAGGACAGTTTAAAACATTAATACTTAGACTGTCTAAATCTTCCACTAAGAAATTTGGAAGGATAATTTATATTTACCATTTATATTGTTATTTTTAATGGTAGGGATTAGATTAACTATGTTGTCACTGTACTTAACCATTCAAATACCCATAGGTTCAAAGCTTTTGTTTGTTTGTATGTTTGTTAGGTACTACTGAAATGTCTATTACCTCATGCCTATTTTTAAACAAGCCCACTTCCTCCAAAATTTGTCACCCCCCAATGTCCCCGTTCCAACAAACACATACAGACTCTCCTTCAAGCTTTATTTCATCCCAAGAGTTTCTCTTTTATGAAAAGAACCAGTAAAATACTATCATATTTGCACAGTCTCTTCAGTCTACAGTGGTTTAAAGTATCTGTAACAGTACCTTTTTTTTAAGATTTATTTATTTTAGAGAGAGAGAGAACGTGAGCATAGGGAAGGGCAGAGGAAGAGGGAGAGAGAGAGAATCTCAAGGAGACTTTCCCCACACAGGGCTGGATCATGCAACCCTGAGATCATGACCTGAGCCAAAATCAAGAGTTGGTCGCCCAACTGACTGAGCCACCCAGCCGCCCCTCTAAAATTGTACCTATTAATGACAGTAATGTTTGCTAGATTTGGGCTATTCAGGCAAGTAAACATTTGCAAGACTATATGTATCTTAGTGTAGAAAACAAAAAGGGAGAAGAAAGGGAACATTTGCTGAAATTTTTTTTTCCACACAAAGCACTATTCAATACAGTGTGGGAGAAGTAAAAACTAGAGGAAGAAAAAGAATTTAGAACATTTATAACCATCTAACATCAGGCACACAAACCCTTAAGACAAAAATCCTTCTTAATTGCTTTCTAAAGCTACTCTTGAAAATTTTATATATAAGTACCTTCCAAATTAAAATTTAGCTCTCTTTTAAAGAGGAAACTAAAAATTACTGTATCTCATAGTGAATTACATCTCCCAATGGGACTTTTAGCCTATGATGTGCCAATATTACTAGGATGTCTTTCTTTTCCTTCACTGAATGTAGTATATGTAAAAAAAAAAAAAAAAAAAAAAAAAGAAAGAAAAAGCTTTCATTTTATTAAAACCAAAAAAAAAAAAAAAAAAAAGGAAAGGAAGGAAATGCTTTCTTATGGAAAGCATTTGTAAATATTTTGGCAAGCAACTTTATTCTCAAACGAAATATTATGTCCCAGGAAGCATTATAATGCTACTATGAGTGGAAAATCACTCATCACATACACACACACACACCAAAAAGTAAATTATGCTATTTCTTGATTTCCCTATTCCTAATTACACTCAGGCAAGGCTGTCCAATAGTGCCCAATCACGAAACAATGGAACACAACTGAGAGTACCTGACGTAGCCACTAGTGTGACTAGAGTTAAAAAAATTTGATTCTTTGGCTCAGTTACAGTATTTTGCACTAACAATTATTTCACAAAGCTGTGATATGCTTTAAACAACAAGAGAAGGTATTTAATGGGCCATTGGTTCCAGTTCATGTTTGAACTCTCCCAGTGACAAACAGGTACTTTCTGCATGACTGGTGCTGTATTCTCCATGCTCTGCAAAGTCAACATCTGATGGAGGTAAATAAAGGTTAGGCTTTTTTTTTTTTTTTTTTTAAAGATCCAAACCACCATAAACAGAAAAGCCACCTACGTCATCTACCTGTGAAGAATTATATCAAATCTTTCTTCCTGATGTTTTGTCAAAGTATCCTAATGGACTAGAGTAAAAACTACTATACAGGCTAACGACACATTTTTATACATTCTGAAGAAAAAATACCTCTGAGGCAAAGGTATTTCCAAACATAAGTTATCTCACTTCTTCACTCTTCCCCTTCTTTGGGTTTAGAGCAAGACTGTAAGTATTCATAAAGTTTTTCTTTATGACACCCATGAGTAGAAAGCAAAATCTGAAAATGGTCGCAAAATATGCGATCAGATTATTTCAGGATGATGCCTGGAAACAGACACCTGAGCACTCGTGCCATGTGCTTCTGGCTCCAGAAGCTTCCAGACAAATCCAATTCACTTGTCCATGCTTTCATTTCATACAGCCAGAAGAGATACAGGATTATCCACAGTCAACTTCCTCCAGGATGGGTTCAACTTCTCAGGGGAAACAAATAAATGAAGTGAACACATTTAGT